TATTTTTAAGGAATAATCATACAATATTTCTTCAATGTTTTAATTGTAATATTAAATTACCTTTATTTTCCAAAAAATAAAATGTTTAATTTATTACTTAAAAGATTAAATTAATGTTCTATGCCTTAAAACAATGTAAATACACAACACAGAATCTCTGAGCAAATAATCATAAGGCTATTGTAAGAATAAATGAAACTTGTTTTATGCTTTCAATTAATTAGACATGATAAAACAGAATTTGGTTACAATAAAACAAGTTGGAAAAATAAAACATTCTGTAGGGCCCTAAACATGTAATACTTAATCTTTTAATAAATTCATGAAAATTAATTTAACATTTTAATTAATTTGACATGTTTTTTGATTAATAAAATGTAATTTAACCATTAAAAAGGAGTCCTTTTCGATCTACTAGCATATTAATATTTTTATTCCCAAACCCCCCCTCCCCCAAAATAAGCCTTAAACCTAGGGGAAACACTGGTTTCTGCATTTGGCTGTAGTTGACTGCATTTGAAGTAGTCTTGGTGGCTTGTAATTACCATGACCAATCTGGTAGCCCACCTGAATTGTTGCATCTTGAATATCTTGCATGAGTTAGTCATTTCATCTGTGCGTAACCTTTTTTTTTTAAATTTTTTTTTTAAATTCTTCCCACAGGTGGAGGAGGATACGGTGGTGACAGGAGTTTTGGTGGCGATAGGGGCTATGGCGGAGGTGACCGATCCTACGGTGGTGGCGATAGAGGCTATGGCGGAGGAGAGAGAAGCTATGGTGGAGGTGACCGATCCTACAGCGGGGGTGGTGGTGGTGGTGGTGGATATTCCAACAGGAGTGGTGGGTACTCCGGTGGCAGCGGCGGTGGATACAGGGATAATAGGTGAGGGATCTTTTACAAAAGGAGAGATTGTGCCCAAGGAATAATTTTATGGTTATTGTTACCGTGAACACTTTAAATATGGCAAATATTACTTTTGGTTTTAGGAGTCAGGGGGGATATGACCGTTCTGGCGGATCCTACAGAGACAGCTATGACAGCTACGGTATGTATTGATTGTTCAGAATTACAAATTTTTCTACACCATTGCAACAGTAGATCTCAGTCCACTTGTTTTGTCTTTAGAATAATGTCTAGACCTAAGCAGAGAGACAAAACTGCCATTTTCAATCTTTTGAGTTCAGTCTACCTGGTTGCCTTTATCTTGGAATTGCTGACCACAGTCCAAAGACATTTTACAAAATTAGCGACTAAAGTAGGTTTTGTGCACTTGATCAGAATAGTCAATAAGACCTTGTTCGAAAAGAATCATATCTTGGTGTCAGTTCACTGTTTGGAAAGGATGTTCACAATGCTCCAGTGCCTTTACACTTTTGCCTACTTCTTGTCCTCAGCTTCACAGTAAAAAAAAAAAAATCCTGATTGCAAGATCATCGCTTCGCTGGCTGTATTTAAAAAGATGCGCTCTTGGAAGACTTTTTTTATTTTTATTTTCTTTACGTTTTGTGTTCTGGTTCAAATGTTCTATTAAAGACAGACTCCTTTTTTTACCGTGTCAAGTATCCACAGCATGTTCCTCTCATTGAGGAGCTGCCTAATGTCCATGAGCATTCAGTTACTGTAAGAGTTTCAAGTTCTGTGAGGCTACCTGTATCTGCCATTTTTATCTTGCGATTGTGTTATAGATGCTCACAGAGGTTTGAAATTGCCCTTTTGTTGTTGTTTTTTTTTGTTGCTTGGAAGACTTTTTTTATTTTTATTTTCTTTACGTTTTGTGTTCTGGTTCAAATGTTCTATTAAAGACAGACTCCTTTTTTTACCGTGTCAAGTATCCACAGCATGTTCCTCTCATTGAGGAGCTGCCTAATGTCCATGAGCATTCAGTTACTGTAAGAGTTTCAAGTTCTGTGAGGCTACCTGTATCTGCCATTTTTATCTTGCGATTGTGTTATAGATGCTCACAGAGGTTTGAAATTGCCCTTTTGTTGTTTTTTTTGTGTTTTTTTTTAGTATGTGTTTAAGAAACTGTCTCTGAAACCATGCGTGAAAATTAACCTGTCCAACACAGCCTGATAGCTTCTAAAACCAATTTCCTCAAAGATTTTTTTGACCAATTTCTTAATATCGGCTCATTGAAAGTGCTTAGGTGGGCATTTGCATTTAAACTATTTTAAAATGGCAGTTTCGCCACAAGAAAATATTCTAATCTGATCCTCCAATAGAAGCTTGATAAGCTGTGATGTGTTCTTTATGGCTCTTTGCCACCTCCATTTTGTGATGCATTCCTTTAGTGAAGCAAGGCAGGCATGTTGCATTGGAGTTGACTCCGGCAAACCTCCTTGATATTGCTAAAGATTTGTAAATATTCATTATCCAAAGAGTAAACCACTGAATTGGGTCATTCCACCTCACATTAGGAGTGATGGCCCAGGGTACTTTACTCTTTGTGCAGTCTAAATTTACTTTTTAAAGTATGCTCTACTGTGGACTGAACTTATCCTCTTAAATGTCAAGAATCTGTTCCTCCTTGGAAAGAAATGTGCTCTGTTCTGTATATCAACACCTCCGAATCCCTTTTTTCTTTTTGTATTAATCTGGCTTCATGAAGCCCATTAAAAATGGTTGGAAAATGCTCTTTCGTTTGCATTCGATATTTAAAAAGCTCAATATAAACCAGATGAATGTCTTGGAGTGGCTAGCTGGGGATTTAGCATTTGGAATCTTAAATATTTTTCATTAGGCAAATAAAACTTAGTATTAGATAAACAAAGATGATATGGCAAGCAATGGTTCTGTGTAATGCTTCATTGGATCCAAGAGTTCTCTGCTAGCAATTACGGAAATCATCAATGTCCTTGGAGAATGAAGTGTTGTGCCTTCCGACTCAAGAATCCTGAGATGAAAGCTGCTCTCTTGACTAGGTCAATTGTGGAGATAGGCCTGTAATGTGAGGTAAAACCTTTTGCTCTCCTGTACGCATTCTACAACCGTTCTCATTGTCCATGTTTTCTTCGAATGTTGCCTCGACCAGTGACTATATCTCCAGAATCTGTTCAGTCCTGTTCCACAACCTAAGAAACACTTCCTGTTCCCTGTTTAAAAAAAAACAAAAAAAAAAAACTGCATGATCACTTTTTTTTTATATATATATATATAGTGCGCTCGTGTTTGGTGGAAAGTACCTCATGTGGCCCTTGAAATTAGAGATTTTAAGTCCCTGTTCTGACTGCTAATGTTTATTTGCCCATTTTAAAGGTTGTTTTTTTTTTTTTTTTTTTTTAGCCTTTGCGTCACCACATCGTCTTGAGTGATTCACTAAAAATGTTTGGCCCTTTTTGTTTCTAAACAATTTGTACCAATTTCTTGCACTTGTTTAGTCAGTGTTTGTGTAGCGTCTTTTTGTAAGCTTTTTTTTTTAAAAATGCATGATTTGTTTTTTGATTCTCTTCTGTATAGTAAAACAAGTTTTTATTTTTCAGACTGACACTGGACTTGTTGCATTTGAAAATTTAGAGGAGCAAGCTGACCTTTGATGAAATGAATTCTTTCATGGCAAAGATTAGAGGTATGCATTTGCTTGTCAATAACTAAATAAATCAACTTATTTTGATGTGGGTAATGGTCTGGTGTTCTGTTGAAGATTGATTTCTTCAAACAATATTTGTGGTATTAGACTTTTTATTTAGCTGTTTGATTAGCATTAATTTGCTAGTTTCTTAAGATGCATGTGGGGGTTTTTTTCCTCCCCCCTCTCTCTCTCTCTCCCTGACAAGAACTTTTTAAGTTGCTTTACTTTTTCAGAGCTCATGGAAATCCCTGCTCTGCAGATGAGCCCATCTCTCCCAAAAGAAAGCAGAACGTGTCAACACTTGCAGAAGATGAAAAATCAATCTTGCAACTCTAAAGTTTGCTGTATTTTGCTGAAAGCAGTGATTCGGTAGAAAGGTGATCCCTTTAAAGCCTTGAGAATGACCAATCCATTCAATAAAGTTTGTTTTACACCCGTTTTAAGTACTTTGCGTTTATTGGCATGGGTTTTTGTGCATTTCTGTGCAGTACATTTACCACAAGGTGGCAGTGGTGGCCAGCTACTGTACAAAAGCCACAGGAAAGGAAATGCTCGAGTGAAAGGGTGACTTTTTTTCTTTTTAATATACATTTTAAAAATAACGTTTTGGAATAGTTTATGGCATTTGATCATGACAATTTTAAACATTTAACAGATTCATTCATTGATCAGTAGTTTTATTTTTCCATTGCCGTTTAATCTAATTATTGATTGGTTTTAAGGGATATTTGTCTTTACGAGAAAGGGAAATGTCATTGGATGATGAGAGTAATGTTCCATTGCTATTTCTTGTGATATAACAAAGTTAGCATTGAAACATGAGCACCATAGATTCAATAAACCGTTAATTTCTGCGCTGTCTGCTTTGTGCTCTTCTCTGGCTTCCTCTGAACTTTTTGGCTGATAGACTTAAAATAGACTTGGGTACTAAACTAAATGAAGTAAAACACAAATTTTAGGTTCTAGACAATAGTGTAATCAGGTTTCAGGTAACGGACAAAACACTGCTGATGGAGTTTGGGTTTCGGTATTGGGAGTTGGAAAAAATCTTCTTGGCGTGGAGACTTGATCTATCATTTCTGGTGTTGTAGGTGACCTCATTATGCTCTGAATCCATGGCAGGTAGAGGGAGATGTGAGGAGCGTCAGCAGTGCCACAGTTTTCAGAGTCTATCAGAGTCACGTTTGCTTCTTTAAGCACATTTGATGGAGACTCATGGTATTTCTTCATTCTCAGGATTTGACAAAGTGATAGTACCCACAATGTTCAAAGTTTGAGTTTTGAGCTGAAAGAGAAGATGCGAAGTTCTTGCTTCAATTGGTAACATTCAGTGGTGGAAAGAGTACTGAAAAAAATATACTCGCGTAAAAGTACCATTACCTTCCAAAAAATGTAGTGTGAGCAGCAGGGGAGGAACAGCTTCCCCATAATTTTGAGGTGAAAATGTGAGGACGGTTTAATGTTAATAAAATTCACAATTAATTTCAGTTCATGTCTCAGAATGTGTGCTTTTTGTTTGTAATTTCAGGGTTGTAATACCATAACGTGAAAGCGCCGCTTTTCTATTGCGAATGTGCCGAATCTGCTGATGTAATTACAACCGCTAAGTGATATAGACGGGTAGGGGGGAATATGGGGTTCGGACGGAGTCTTTAATATGACCTTGCAACATGCACTCTCGTCTCACTGAACGGGACGTCTGCGTCTAACACATGTTCGTCTGCCT